GGTCTTCCAGAAGACCCAGAAGCAGCCAAACCTACACTCTCAACTGTTAATTTCACATCTTTATGGAGAAAATAACCACCACTATTGTGTCTCAGCAGTCGGTGCTAACTGGATTGGTGATGAATTAGTGAGGCAAGCGCTTACCATGGGACAGAATTGACCGACTTGTCGCACAGGTAGATATTTCTTACATCAACCTACAAACAAGGAAGAGATGAAGTGTGCACGGGAGAGAAGAACAAAAAGGGACAATACAAGACTGCGTTGTGCGATAACTTACATCAGTAGGAAGGAGAAGCACCCGTTCGTCAGGCTCTCCAGTCAACGGTCCGATCTTGAAGTAAGTGCAGGTGTCCTACCCAAGAGAGAGATGAAAAAAAAAGTTACGCGGGCAACGCGGGTTACTACAGAAATCATCTATCAGTCAGTCATCCAGCTTTAATCCATCTGCAGGACAAAAATTTCCAACTTGATATGGAGGCACAAAGAAAGGAGAGAATTCGACTGTACACGTGAAGTTAGTATTGCAATTCGGTTCAAATCAAATGCGCTTTAATCAGCTATGATTGACACTTTTACAGCATCGTAGCAATAACACGAGTAAATGATAATGACGGTTTCAGCAAATACTTTTATACGGTTAATAGCAAGCTCTTGGAAGCTGCAAACAGGAATTTCAAGCGGCGAATTTGACGAAGGCCATGTTTCATGAAATACCATCGAAATGGGAAAAGGAAAAATTTTACTTCTGTGAATATGAATTATTGGACACTTTCCTGGTTATCCTAAAGTGAACCGAACACCGCAATTACAGTCTGTTGGACTACTTCAAAATGTCAATTTTATTCAACCTTTTCTTCTTGCGATGCCAACAAGGTGGGGAATTAGCGCTTCATTTAAATGAATTGGGAAATAGGAAAAAGTAAGGGAAATAATTGAAATTATGGGCAGGCCTTCTAAACACATTATACGGCATTTAATGGCAGCAAATTATCCCTCCTCGACAGTTCCATGAATCGCAGAACCTAACCTCCAATTCGGTAAACTGAAAGTGTCCATAGCACTCCTACAAGACTGCATCGGACGTTTCTTTTCATTCACCACTTTGATGAGCCACGATGTCAATGGAGACACTAAAATAGATGCAACCTCCGAAAATGGGATTTCCTCATTTATGGGAGGCCTCGAGCCCTTATCTTCTCCTCATAAGGTCGTCGGATTAAACCCTAGAAGTATTACGTCGTTCGGAAGTCTCGAATAGTGTCGGCTCCATCGACAGCAGTAGTCGTTAACTTGAACAAAACCATTGTTGGCGCTATGTCAATAGCAATAATAAGTCATTTTGCTGGGTTAAATTGCCTTGTTGTATGTCAATCTTACGACTGGATTACTGATTTACGTCTTCTGTGTGTGTCCAAATAAATAAATATTAAAATATCCATTTTCAAGTTGTCCAAGGAAAACAATTACCATAACCCAGTTGTTCCATTTTTTGTTTAGCGCATCAAAACACACGTCACACATTCGTGACGCCTGGCTTACATGTGATCAGGATGTCATAAATAACTGACACGAGGAATGAAAACTTGCCAATGTCGTTGCCAACCTGCGTTAAAAAAATCGGCATAACTGCGAATTTGTGACAAGTTTCCCACCCATGTCACCCATACGTGACATGCCTTCTTTACCGATTTATGATGATATTTGATTGGATTGCTCTGTGCCACAGAGAGAGTAATTGAGTTTACAGCAAGAATGCAAATGTAGAATGTTTTCGATCAGCAAACATATAGGGGTGACGTAGTTTATAAACGCAGCTGGTAAAAAAAGTGACTGGCATTTGGCGTCAGACAATAGCAATTAAACAAATGGGCTGACAGTCAACTTTCTTAAGCCTCCTCCCTTAACCGACCTTCTCGTATTGCGATTGGATGGAGCAAATGATTTGCACCATTTGTTTATAAATTCTCTCGCAGGGAAGTTGGATTAAAACATAGATCATTATTTAACGATAAGAATGAGAGAGATCTTCCCTTTTTATGGAGATCCAACATTTAAGAGCAATGAATGTGATTTCGTAGGATTTCAGATCTACCTGCTTCCTTACAAATCGTCAGCGAAGAGTGGAACTTTCCCTCCACTTATGCCACTTTAGTGCTGACTCATGACAGCGGTTAAGTAGTCAACTCACTTTCTGCGCATGTGCTGGCCTTGTTTGAGGTTGAAATCTGATGCCATTTCCCTGTGTAGTCATACAATGACAATGCGAACAAACAAAATCTGATTTGCCAATTAAAGCTTGTGAAAATTTACTAAGATGCAAGAAGTCCATTAGCTTCAAATCACTCTTTCACAGCAATGGTGTGTGGTACTGTTCACCCAATCTAATCGGATCATATTACTGATCACATGGCTTAACCTCTCTACTAGTTTAGATGACAACCCGGTAAATTTAAAGTAGCACGTAGGCGGAGATATTAGAGGTAAAGGAGGAGCATAAAATGTAATGAAGAAGAAAATATGAGATACAGGAGCCGATGTTCAACACTCCTACTTTTGGAGGAGAAAAGAAACTAAAAAGGAAATTGAAGATTCGGTTAAATCATTACCAAAACGCCCAAGGCAGCCAGCAATCCTCAAGGATATTCAACAGCGTCAAGATCTCTAAGTGTGCAGCCCAAAACAAATGACCTCAAAGCCAATTATGTCGCAGTAACTGGTTATGACCGTAAGAAATGGCACTATCAACTTTTGTTAGTGAAGGTGAGGAACAAAAACTGGTTCTAACGCCTCTCTTTGTTGATTACGAAGCACTTGAGAGAGCGAAGGTGCATTCATTTTCTCTTAAAAGAAATGCGAACTTTGATGTGATACAGTTGACAAACTCAGTTTTTTCCAGCTATCATCCAATATCGGAGACACGGTATCAGTTATAAAGTACAAGAAAAAAAGGGAGAGCTGCACATCAACTGACTCATCCCCACCCCACTGTTGAGCAAACGACAAAGTGGGTGACTGTGATGAAAAGTTGCCAAAGGCACCACAATGGGAACAACTAATCGACGTGAACGTGACATTAGAGAAGAACGTAAAGCAATTGGGCATCTAGAATTTGACCTACTGCTTACCCAGTGCCAGTGGCAACTGGAGGGGAAGTGAGACGCACAAAAGCATTATAAGGCTTACTTTTCACCCCTTTTGTGTCCAAAGCATTCTCAGGTCGATCATTCACATCGGGAGTGGAGTGCCAGTTGACCGGCAGCAACAGACAGCACAAATTGTCTTTTTCTCCAACACAAGGCGTGCTTAACAGTAACTTCAGCAATGATGATTAGTGGGTCATGCTACCACTTAAGAGAGGTTTAACCAAGCAATCTTTTCTACTGCTATGACTAATGAGCCATTTTAATGAGCCCTTATCTCGTCCCGTCTTCTTCTGCTTGGTAGCCAAGAAATGACACTTACACAATAACTTTGAGGCACAGCCATTGGAGGGAGTTGGGGCCACAAACTTAAGGAGAGAAGCGCAAATCCGCTTTGTAGCCCAATTCGAATCAACATCCAGCATGTAAATTAACAGTCACCAACTACACCTTAAATGCTTGATGCTTGATCTTCTTAGTGTTAGAATAGACTCACGGCAGGAATGCCCCACAGTGAAATTGTAAGAACGTAAGTAGGAAAACAAGGGGATTGTAGGTGATACCAGGATAAGTACCCACTCAATGTTAGTATAAAAAGGTAAGCTACAACTTATGCAACTCATAAGGCGACGCAAGACAATGATGGACATTGTCATACCAGAGGAGAAGAGAATGGAGGTTAAATATTAGCCTAACCGAGGACAAGATTAGGTAAAGAGGAGATTGTGTGGTTGAAAAATCCTCATTTTATGCTCTTACTTGTCCAATATAAATCTCGTTTACCTTCAGTTCGTTGCCAAAGCTAGGCATAGCACAGCATCTCTTTGAAGTATTGTCAAATGAAGTCAGTAATGAGACGGAAAAGGAAGGTGATAAGAGTAACAAAGTTGGATTTGATGCCCTGGAACTGGATTAACGGTGAAACATAAACATCACCTCCCATTGTTGATAAAAATAAGAGTGTTCTTTTGATATTAAACTTTTTACTCAAAAGAAGGACCTTTCAGGCTGCACTTTCACTTAATCTGCTTCACGTTTTGATTGTACACAGTGCAGAGTTATTGACGTAATCACGAGGAAATCACACCGCTGGAGGGTAAAAACGAGAAATGAGAAATGATAATTGCCCCACCAAGACGCAATTCAAACAGGTAGGCGAAAAGAAACTGCATAATAATGGCGGTACAATCGACGCACCTCCGATTCAGCTTTAAGTAGTGGACGACGACGCAAGTCACACTGACAAGTGAACAATGGCTGAAGCGTGATTACCATCAATCACTAAACAGACTAATCTCAAAGCTATGAGGAGTCGGCAGGTACTACACGCAAGCCATTAGGGACGCATCGCATTAGGCGTGGATTGCATCCGGCCCAACCCGTGCCAGTGGAAAGTTAAGACGCCGAAATGGGGGACACAATGAAACCTCACAAGTTGATTTCTACACTCAGGCTGTTAACACATTGCGAAAAGGTGGACAAATGGCCGTGGGACTGCGGTTGACTAGGTCAGAAGAAATGTTGCCCCGCCATTAATGAGATGGATAATAAAGAATCTGTATGTCGACAGGTAAAAAAGTTTGAAAAGGCAAAATGCAACTGGCTGTCTTACTTATGGGTAGGTGACTTCACCACCTAAGACGGTTAAACATTGGGGCAAGGACGTGAAAATGATGAGAGAATGCTGCTTTTGGCTTTTCCATTAAAAGCCCCAAATCAAATTCAGTGATGTGACGTAAAGCGAGGCTAAAAGACGAACCTTAGTGGCTGTGTAGACACCGTTTAAGTCACCAGCTCGATTGTACCAGACACAACGTGAATCGACCACAACTGGTGGTTGATCCAATTCGCATGGGGATGGAGGCTCCAGAGGAACTGGGTGGGAGAGAAAAGTTGACTGCAGCATTTCCATCTGTTGCACCCGATTTGTCAGTGGCTAAAAATTATCAAAGCATCAGTGGTAAGGACCCGTGACTTGGGAAGCACGTGACTATTGAGGGTAAAGCAGTAGGTTTACGATTGTCATCGGCTGAATTTGCTGCACTGTGATACCAAGTCACCAGCCACAAAAGACCCGATTTGCATCAATTAGCCGAGCAGTATGTATCAACATTTGCTTTGTAAGCACAGATTGGCAATCTCAATAGTTACTTATTCAAAGAGAGTCAGAACAACTACTAAGGGGATTTTTCTCACTGACAGTTGTAGAAAACGAAAACGTAGAGTAGACCACTTTCCCACCAATGTTCACAAATTTGTTTGATTCATGTCTAAGAAATCATCCAGACACTGCAACCTATAGCCTCATGGTAGCGAGACAATGCAGTCACTAACTAACTTTTAAGATCTGGCATGATGTTATGCAATTGATATATTCCTTAGAACAAGTCACAACTTCCCAGCAACAATAAAGAAACGTCTCATGGCAACTATTACCTTATTTAATGCCACGACTGAACTTAAACTAAGTATGAAAAGAGAGGCATTCGAGCCAAACCTGGACCTTCGTTTCACTGTCACGTGAAAACTGGAAGGCTTCCATGGCAGTGATACACACAATGGCATTACTTGACAAGTATAACCCCACCGTTAGTAATCGACGCCAAAATATAAACGCGATTTTGGAATACAAACAATGATGGCTTAGCGTCACAGTAGTTAAAAGTCAAACACCAGAAATACGAGGAATCTACAAATTTTGTAATACCATACAAAAAGGGCACATTGCACGCAGTTGCCATTCAGTGGGGTCCATTTTACAAGCAGATAGTGATAAGCACAAAAATTGGAGACAATGAAGATCTGCAAACTCGGTACTACCTTAGGCATACGGAGAGTCCAAAGTGCTCGATACTAGTCACACGTTTGTTCGTACTCTTATGTAGTATAGGCACTTCTGTGAAGGTGGGCTTGCAAATTTATCAAATTCGTCAGTATTTAAGTCCCTCCCAATCACCAAACCATCCTTTCGGTCGATTAAGGAGTGGAAGGAGGAAAGAAAGTGTTTACTATTTTGGATAATTTACGCTAGCCAGTGTGGAGATTGCACCACTGCCTAATGCCCACAAAAGACCGCCCTGCGTTAGCTTGTTCGTATGCGAGGTTTTTGTATAAACAAGCATTCGAGGAAGACAATTACCATTCGTGTTGTGGCGTTCACGTTAGCAAATAAGGCATGGTTCAGACGAGAGACGAGCTGTTTGCACCTAAAAAAGACGAATAAATAGGCAACTGTGTGCAGAGCCTCGTTATACCAGGTTTCCAAACTTTGGACTCGCGTAAGCATGAGAACAAGTAGCACACTTGGAAAATGGACACAGATTAAGTGCGTATTTGTATGTGTGTTTTAAGACATACGTTAACGTTTGGGCGATCCACATTAAAGCTACCCCACGGGGGGATATGCCAATGACTTCGCCATGTTGTAGGGCAAAGAATTACCTTTTAGAATGACACACGGGAACAAATTCAAAGTACCGCATAAAGAATGGGACTATCTATAACCAAGTGATTAAAATTGAGTTCTAACACATGGCTATCCGTTAACTAGGTATTGAGAGGTCCATCCATAGATCTGATCAACCCAGCAACACCAGCTAATTTTGGTTAAAGTAACTAGAGATCCAATGCATGGTAAGAGTCTTAGTACAGTACTTACTACTCAGCCGAAGTAAAGCTGACACAAATAAGCAGTGCCTGCCACAACCTTGCAATGAGTTTTTTTATAGACCTAGATCCCTGTCTACCAACAAACTTCATCTACTCCGTTTAAAAGACAAAAGTCCAGCAACTCTGCCACCTTTGCCCATTCCCCAGACTGTAGAGCCTGTAAACTGGTATTTACGATGCCTCATAATAGCTATTCCGCAGTAATATATACTACAGCAATATAGAAGACAAACCATAGAATGCAGAGATGATCACAGGACAGCCACACTTTATTGATTGATGGAGTAGAAAGGTGAAGCGCACGATCCACTGGTAGGGTGGTTTTTCCCAAACCATCCCACACCTAAAACGAAAATCCGCAAACAATTAAATTACGGTAACGTGAGAACGAACTGGCGCTGAATTTTAACATGATCAATAAGCGACAACATTCACTTGATAATCTGAAATGCCTCCGGTGATGGAAAGAAAGGTAAGATGATCGTAGCTGGAGTCCAAGGATACATTACGCCAGAATTCGTGAATACGGTCGTATATCCGCAACAAATGAACACTCAGTGCAACGACTAAAAGAAGAGAGAGGCATATTCGCAAAAGATAAGCCTACCCGGAGATCTGAGTGGAGACGCCAAAGTTATCACGGAATTCACTATTGATGGTTCAAATCTTGCCTTAGCTAGAGCATAGTGGGCAACGACTCCACCCTAAGGAAAGAGGTTACGAGGACAATAAAAACAGGCTCGCAATTCATTAGCAACCCATATTTTGCCCACATTATGGATTACGCTGAGTGACAGCCTACCATAGAATGACCAACGACTATTATGGGAATGGGCGCTTTGGTGAAAAGACGGTATACAAAAGGAATGACATTGGCGACACATTCTAGTAAAAAGCAATCGAGAACGTATTTGTATAATACCTGTCTGGCGCTCAATTACTTCAGACGACAGTGCCGAGGTATCCTAGGAACTGCATTACCAAAACAGTAAAATACCTCGGAGAAATCAAGCGAGAAGAACTCGAACGAGTAGTTTAAGGACTGCGTAAGAGATGTTACAAAAGTAGTGGAGGCTAGTGCTCGCACTTGTTTGGGATGACCCTGACTGCCAGGAATAAAAAGGACAGGAATTGTCCTGAAAAACGGGGTTGTACGAAAGAAGTGAATTTACCCGTCTGAACCCGTTGGCAAAAAAGTATATCCACTGTATGGGTAAGCATAAAAAGGTATTCACAATTACCTCTCTCTATATACACCAAGTCCGTATCTTTGACAAGAGTTGAGAGCTTCGCCCTTCAATGGAATCGGCTACAAAATTATAGACAAAGTTAAACAAACCTCCATGTAGGTGTGCTCATATGTGTAGGTCATCAGGCACTCATTTTCTTGCTGAACACTGCGAAATATAAGTATTCCTCCTAACACTATACAGCAAATGAGTAACACCCGCAGCATTCTTTTCACATGCAAACATCAACCCCTACATTCAAAAGTGCAATAAGGCAACTAATGCTGAGAGTTGGTACATTTAAACTAGAGTAGCAAATAGTTTGAAATGTCATTTGAAACATAAAGACAGTCTAATATTTTTATTTTTGGCCTGGTAAACATTTTCAAAAAGCACATTTAAATGCCTTTAAAGTTAGGATTCGACCTTTGTTCTTTAAATGGTCTGTAATAAATTTTTACAAGAAAGGATTGTGATAACTGGTTTTAGAAATACTGTTGATGCCAGGCAAAGTTTGAAGAACATCTGAAATATAAGAATCACAACGTACTTTTTGGATGATGTTATCTCATCCCCTTACGGTATAAGTGATGGGTCCAAAATCCAAATAAACGCAAGAAATTCAGAAGACGAATCGTTTGAGTGCAAATTACACAGTCAAAATTTGCATAATCACTCCTTGAAAGGATCCAAGTATTTATAAAAACTACCCTGTGGAGCAAGACTCCTCGGTCTCCGCTTCCCTATTCCTAGCGTTCCTATACAAGCCCAGTTGATTAGCTTTAGACATCCTTATCAAAGGTGACAAGATGGAGAGGGAAAATACAATGTTCAAGAAGGAGAAGAGCCGCAGTCACTAGGTAAGGGAGAGGACGATCCGGTCACGAGATTCGAATTTCCTGATTGCCTCCTCCCTGAAAGGCACATTAAAACAACATAAGTATTACAGCCCTGATTCCTCAATTATACCTCACATTTATTCCTACTGATACTCATCAATTCCAATATATTTAGGATTCCCTCCTTGGACCCATAAAAAGCAACAAATTCAGCAAAAATAACCCTTTATTAGATTTCCTGTATAAGTTACTTGATTTGGGAAAGCATATTGTTCAATCCTCAATATTTTAAATAACAACACCAGCAAATTGAATCAACTGCATATTCCAAGATACACAAGGAGTTGCTAAAGCCGTGAATGGCTGCTGAAATCAAATAAAACTTGTATTTTTCAAGCTGACGGAGGATTAAGTGCTTCAAGTTGACATCGCGTCGCTACGCCTATTAAATTCAAAGCACAGTTACAGCAGAGCACACCTCTGCCCTTGTCAATCGAATTTGACCAGTAGTGCTTCAAATCGCCGCTATTTCCAATGCAACTTCCCCAAATCTCATCGGTTTACTCTTCAAGAGGTGCTGGAAACGATCATCTCGAAGGCGAAGAGAGGCATCACATTCACAGCAAAGGCCTCACGGTAATTCGAAGTAAAGATTACCTTTAAAATTCCCAGGAGTTGGGATCTTGAAGGAAGAAACCATTCAGGAAGAATTACTCTCCATCCTTCCTGTTCCAACTCGTGTCGGTAATCTGAAAGTTAAATGACATCTGTGGGATGGAGTTGCGAGTGCATTCCCACACTTCACATTGGTCCTTAAGTGGTCATCAAAAGCTGCAGATGTGCGGAGTTCACAATCATCCGGGTAGTTCGTATTCAGCTGACCACTTTTGAGAGTGCCGAGGAAGGCGCACTTTTAGTGGCTTCATTTTTGTCGCATTGCTTCAGTTCTGGACATTAGGCTCCTCAGAAAGGCGTATCCCCATCAACCGATCATCGGTGGCGTTGACTTTAACCGCTTTCAAGGGTGGGCATTACTGGACCTTTCAAGTAGGCAATTACTTATAAATTGTTGCATTTTCCTTTCTTCATTGCATGGCTGAGGTTCCAGTAGCACCATACTGATACGAGTGACTGAAGCTGAAAAATTGCACAAACATTCTGAATTACAAGTTGTTCGCACCGAGGCATTTGCTAACGGGAGGGGAATGACTGAACTTTGTCATGCATTAGATTGCTTTTAGTGGCATCACAGTTTGGGTATGAGCGATTAGATTGTCATTAGAGCTGTTGAACACCCTCTGACAAGAAATAATCACCATTGTGTTGGAGGTACCATCAAGGCATCAAAAATGAGTACTTTGTAGTAGAAAGATTGTCTTTCTTGGGGTAAAAATACTTTTTTCCTAGCTAAAATGAGTTAAGTAACGGAGTAGAGAATTTTCTTGCCGTCGAAAAAGGCCTTAGTCAGTCGGCCAGTCAGTCAGTCACATCGTGTGAAGGCGGTCGGTACTGTCTAGTCTCCTCTGCGTTTTAAGCTTGGCTCTGGCAAACCTCTAAGAAGGGTTCCAAGATTAGCTCTCCTTGAAACCTTTTCCACAGGCTCGTGTGGAAAATGTGACAAGTCACATTGAATGCCCCGGTTACAAGCTCCCTTTTGAGCAACGTTGCCTGAGGAAGTCCACTTTTATCTCCTGTTTTGCTCCTACCTCATATTTGTCATTTCTTGCCCGGATTATTTTGGCTATAAAAACTGGAACCATTAAATTCCAGCTGGAGATGCCTGTGACCACAAATAAACGTCTCTATTCACATTTCCATACGGTTAGAGAGACTGTCTTTTGCTCAATTCCTTCTGATTGGCTGTATTTTAAGTGCCCTATTAGTCAGGCTAAGCCCAAGGTCCATCAATTACTATGCACAAACATAACGAAGACGACCAGGTGGTGTAGTCTCCGCTATTCGCCCCTGTTTGGCCACCGGTCTAACACACGCACGTCATACCACCATGGTTATACACCCACTGCAGTAGTGAAGAGCATCCGTCTTGAAGTCTTTATGCATTGCTCGTGTGGTTGGTGGCCTCGATGGGCTCCAGACAACTGGCGCGGACATAAACTCCAGGATACAAATATTAGAGACGCCAGTTTATAACAGCTTCAAGGTTTATTGTGTCTTCCGTGGCGGATGATCTGAATGAAGGGGCTTAGCTTATAAGAGTTGTTCTGTAAAGAGAAATGATGGCGTCCGGATGCCTTTTCACAATGCTTTCCCCTTAGTTAACTTTTGCTCGAGTGAGCTCTTATAAAACGGGAGGAGAAATGAGAGAAGTGTGGTCCAGGCCTTGAGATTTGTCCCTCATTATCTTTAAAATATGGCCCATCATTACTTGTGCAAGCTTCTTAGTCAAAGGCATACCTAACTACTCGGACACAGGTATGAGTTGTTGAAGGGAGAATTGTGGAATGCTTCGCACCAAGCCCCTCCGCAAGAGTGGAATTAGCTTCATTCAGTTGTGGTTTAATCGTTTTTAGGCCTAAAGTCTTGAAAAAAGGATATAGTAACCCAACTAACAGAGCGCTGCCCTGATTTCGTTATTCTGCATACATCCACTTTAAAGATAAGCTATCAAATAAGTGCAGTGTGGAAGAGGCATGAATGATGAAAAGACATCTACAACTTACCCTCAGGAATGTCGACCGTGCCTGCATGTAGTTGCTCCTATGACCTTGGCCTGTTATTTCTAAATCACCACCCTCCACTTCTGAGGTAGGTGACTGCACCGGTGTGCCACCATAGCGGTTAGACGTTTTCGGTTGTTAGGACTAATACAACTTCTTAAACTATGCTTCCATGTCGCATTCAATGTGAACCAAAGTATGCTCTTGTCCGTCCACACCACCACATCTAGCAAAACTACACCATTTATAGCTAATTGTTGCAATTGTATAAAGGTTGGAGCCATCATGGTGGCAAGTACAGAAGTTGGGCTACGTGGCGAGTAATCGACAGCATACCCTTTAAATTCTAAGCACGGAAGTAAGCTCCAACCAAACCTTCTCAAATTTGGTTAGTACCAGGTCAGACGCATTCACATTTGCTACAAAAGGCTTAAATAAATTTTGGTGAAAATGCATTTTCAATAGGATTTTTTGTTTCCATTGGCTAATTAGTTAGTGGCATTGGTACAGACGATGTGGTTACCACATTCTGGTATTTTGATTATGACCAATTTGAGTTATGCAAAGCTGCTATACCGTTCAAACCTTCCCACACATCATCACTCCTCAATGCCATTATTCTGTGCATGTTGGTAAGCGTGAAATTTGATTGTCAGTCGAACACATTAAATAACAAATCTTGAGCAAATTCTATTGTCACAACAGTGTTTGTTAACGCCTCTTCAGTCACATATGTAGTGAACCACGAAAGAACATACCTTGCCAATACCAAGGCACTTACATTTTCACATAATTGACGAACAAGAAGGGAAAATTTGCAGAACACAAATCGGACAACCTAGTTTCAGACATAATGAGCAAACCGGCCATTCAACCAAAGACAAATAAGCCGAAATAAATTGGAAGGACCAAAGTGGAAAGACCATTCTTCGAGTTATCCACTGAGCTAGTAGAGGTTGAGTCATGTCTCCAGTAATGTGATCCGGTCGGTTGTGTTGATCAGCATCATCCAGCATTTTTGTGATTGAGTGGGCTGAAGCTAATGCACTTCCTACATCTTGATGCATTTTCATAAGCTTTACGTGTTAAATGGGATTTTGTTTGTTCATTTCGTCATTATAGCAGCACAGAAAAAGTGAGATATGTCGCAGGCTTAAACAAGGCCAGCACATACTCACGAAGTGGGTTGGCAGCTAAATTACTGCCATGATTCAACACTAGGTTGGTATGTGTGGCGAAAGGCTTTTTTTATTTGCTGCCATTGTGCGGAAAACTAAGTAGACTGGGGACCCTAAATAACTTGACCTTATTAAACATTTCGCATCTTCATGGAAATGATAGTTGGCTCTACGTCATGTTGATAAGTAGTGTTAAGCAGTTGTTCATGCTTCAATCTAAGTTTACTGCTGCAAAAGTTACAACTGCAAGTCATACACATCACCCACTCCATTCTGTCACAATGTTAGGAGGTCGGCTAAGGTAGACAATTGGCAGGTCGGCTGCCAGTTCAGTTGCTTTATTGCTCTCGTTTGACACCAAATGTCAGTCACTTTTTACCAGCTCTAATCATATGCTACGTCAACCATTTTTGTTCTCAGACCAAAATCATGCTGTCAGCATTCTTTTGTAAACTCTGTCACCCTATCTGCGACGCGAAGACTTTGAGCGTCGTCGCAAAGGGGTAGATAAGTCATGTCACGCGCGTGACATGGGCGCAGAACTTGCCAAAAGAAGTTGCAAATTCGCATTCATGCCGATTCTTTTAACACAGGTTTATAATGGCATTGACGGACCACAGAGCAATTGCGTGGATCCCGTTTTGTTGACATTTTTGTTGACATTTCAGGAATAAATCATTTAACCAGAAACCTTCAAAAATTGTTAGAATATGGGCATCCTTTTCTGGATGCGGTTCATATTTATGCTCGTTTATAGTAGCCTAAACTGGAGTGTTCAAGGCCGATGATTCCCAATTCGTTAGCTTTCACTACTCGAGGCCATTATGCACGACGCCCTGCTCTCCACGATTGGGTTAGGCCTCACGAATGCTCAAAATATGTAATTGCTCATCAAACAGATTAATCGAGGTTAGAGGGATAAAAGCTGTGAGAATATGCTTGATCCGAGAGGGATTGCATTTTGGGTTGTGAGAAGCACAACCGGGCTGTGACGGTCGTCTTTCCTTGGACAACTTGGTAGCAAACATCTTAACATTTATTTATTCTGCCACACACAAAAGACCTAAATTAATGACCTAGTCGTAAGACTGACATACCACAGCGTAATTGCCAAGGTTTCCTTCAGTTTTTACTACACATGAGGCAGTTTAACACAGCAAAATGACTTATTATTGCTATTGAGGTAGCAACGACTGACTTTCTCAACGTCAGCAACTACTGTTGTCGATGGAACCGTTACATTTCTAGACTTTTGATTGGCATAGTGCTTCTGGGGTTGAATCCGACGCCCACGTGAGGGGAGGTAAGGACTTGAATTCTTTAACAATTGGGGATATCCTATTCTTTAAGATTACATCTATTTTAGTATCTCTATTAAATTTGCGATTTACCTAGGTGGTGCGCAGGTGGCCCTTTTTTCAATGAATAGTTTGAATGAAAAGAAACATCGGATTCAGTGTTATAGGGGTGTTAAGGACACCTTCAGTTTACTGAATTGGAGGTTGGGGTCTTCGATTCACAGAGCTGCAGAGGAGGGAGAACTTGATGCCATTAAATGCCATATAGTGTGTTTAGAAGGCCTGCCCATAATTTCAATTATTTCCTATTGTTCTTTCCCATTTTTCGAGTCACTACCTTCTTACTTCATTGGTACTGCAAGAAGAAAAGGTTAAACAAATTTGACATTTTGAGGTTGTTCAACAGACCATGAGTGCAGCGTTCGGTTCACTAGATGATAACCAGGAAAATTTACAATAGTTCATGCCCAGAGAAGAAAAATTTTCCCTTTTACCATTTTTGATGGTACTTCATGAAATACATGGCCGTCGTCAAATTTTTTGCGACGTTATGCGGCCAAATTTTCTTCTCACAGCCCTCAAAAGCTTTCATTTAACCGGATAAAGGAGCTTAGCAAATTCGTCACTATCCTTTCCTCATTTTGCTGCTATAATTTTTGCAAATTTATTATCCAAATCTTATAAAAATGCAGTTGGTTTGAACTGAATTGGATAGTTAGCCTCACATGTGCTTTTGGATACTCTTCTTTTCTACGGTCTTTAAACTGAGCAAAAAGTTTATGCCCTGTGGATGAATGATACCCTATAGTTGTTCCCGATGCCAGTACATATTTTTTCGCTTTCATTTCCCTCTTTTGGGTAGGACACCTGCACTTACTTCAAGATTGGGACGTTGATGGGAGAGCTGGGCGAACGAGTGCTCCTTCTTCCCACTAACGTAAGTTACCGTACAGCACAGTCTTGTTTTGTTTCTTTTTGTTCTTTTCTCCTGTCTGTAAAGTGTTGGTTTCTATTTCCCTCATGCCGTCATCTTACCCCCTTTTTCTGGGGCTAGCACAATAGCCTATCATGAGGCACTGCTCAAGTAGAGACATATTTGGATTCCTTAAGTATTTTCAACGCCAAAGAGGTACCAGTTCTTGCTGATAAAGAGCCTATGACCTCTCGGATTCAATCACCAATACGGCTTTATTGTCACCTGGACTGCGTTGACACTGACCAGCGAATTGCATTTTCTTTGCAAGTGTTCACCTCTGTATTTGCCGTGCCATTGTTCATACTGTTGGCCTCTTGACTTTATCTTTCACTAATGGTGTGATATATTTAAATGTGAATATGGTAAAGAATGCTATAATTAGCGTACGAAATATACATTGAATGAATTGTGCCACATTTTGGGCCTTGAGTTTATCACCTCTTACTTGAAAGTATTTTTATTAATCGAGCATTCGTATGGCTAAGTGGTTCTTAGCAAGCAAGTATCATCTAATACTTAGTCATTCTTGAAGTCGCTACAGCGCATTCAATTCAGATAGCATCTAAAGAATCAACGTACTGAAGGGCTGCGAGACCGCAACTTGGCAGCCAAATGTGCTTGTGGAGAGTTTGCTGTAGTGAGAGAGTAAAATAGTTTTATTCATTGAGGTCTGCCTCCAGAGGCAGACCACCTTACCATGGCCACCTCCGTTCCGTCCACTTTTTCACTTCCAAACTCTGTTATGCATGCAGTTATCTGATCCCAAGGTGGTAATTACTTTGAGAAGTAACATTGTGAGAGACTACTGAGGATTACGTGACAGCTTTCACCCATCCCAAATGATGTATAAGGTCATCTGTGTTGGGAATAGGACTTTACCCTATCGACTGCCTACGCCTTTCCTGTCCATCTTTACTTCATGTCAAAATTGTATGGTCTTCATCTCATGGCCAACCCATACTGTAGTCTGCCATCTACATACAAAGCAACCATGTTCTCTGGAAAACGAAATGATGTGTGTCGTAGATGTGTGGAGTGAATTGTGGAATGGTGGTATGGGAAACCGATGATATATTCGCTGCAGTACAGTCATCTCATATAACAGATCGGTCAGCAAGCAATCTAAGATCAGCGCGACTTCAACACGTTAAAAAGGTAAAGGATAAATTGATAAGCTCTAAGCCTAATGCCTTTTATCTGTTGTTGTGCATGTAAACTGGAGAGATTCTTATCAAGGGCCACAAATAGAAACTCCCTCCAGCGAAGACTCAAGAGTCTTTCGAAATGTTGTGAAAATTTGGATGACTGTATCCCCAGCGTCAAATTGTTGGAACTTATTCCGAGATGTGAGTTCTCTTTAAGCCTAAGACCTTGAATGATGGTTATCAAGAAGAAAATGGTAGCTTTTTCAAGTAGCTGGTTTCTGCTAACAAAACGTGAGTTGTTGAATAGGAAATGTTTTGCTCTACTCTGCTTTGAATAGGCAAATCTCACTAAAAAGGTAAGACCTTCTCCAATAGCAGGAATATAAGTAATTTCTGTTATTGCTTGGGGTTTACTTGTGTTTGACATGATAAACAATGTGGATGATCGAAAATTGCAAAAATTGCTATATCACTACCTCGAAATCAGAGGTGTGCGGCCTTCTGCATACTTCTCTCATTTGAGGCCTTTCACTTCGGTCCTGCTCTGCCACCTTCCATACGCATCGATTTAGGCTCACATCTTCCAGAATCTAGTAAGTTTGAGTCTAGAACCATTTTCAGGAGGCAGATCTCTGATCAGTCAACATCTCCATGAGACCATCTTTGTCTTAACCTTTGCAACTTTTATTGTAGACCTTGTTAATCGGATCATCTTCGCCCTACCCTATGATCACCAAGTTTATCACCATCTATTCAAGTAGGTGGTGCTGCTATCAAGGGCTCTTCTTTGATGGAAATAAGTATCTATTATTTTAACATTATCTGTTAGCTCCAGAATTGCTGCAATATTCGACCCACAGACTATCAGTCATCTTCCAGAACAATATACTAATTTGACGACACCCTTCGTGGATGATATCAATGTTCCACGCTGTGACAATACTAAGGTCCACTTTCCATGCTTGTATTCCTACTGAAAATTTCAGATAAACTCATAATTCACTTTTTGGCTATTCCAATTTTATTCATTTATCTTTGACACCTCTATAGAGCTGGTGAAGGTGCTTTAGGGCCACCTCGTGTTTGGCTTGTAGTCGTTGGGTGTATTGCATGTGACCACGAAGGTATTTGTCCACCTTTGTGCGTGAAAAGCTGCCAAAATTCTCCGCCCCTCCGCACTTGTTGATCACTCGTTGCATCCACTCTCTTGGTTTTTGGTCTGGACAAACTCATAATAAGTAGTAGAGGATATTTTTATGGAGTAAGTGTTAGATTCACAAGCACTTTTTTATGGGAGAATTAGAATTTATATGATGTAGAGAGCCTTTAACAAAGCAGTTCAATATTTAAATGAAGGGTGAATTGGGGCAAAAATTTAAGGCAGTCAATGGTAAAGTAGAGTCATTTGGCTTCCCGACTGCTTTTTTGTACTGTGTAACACCGGGAAGATGCTCAAGTGGATTCTTTTGTTAATATGACATTGGGACTATCAATCTGGAAGTATCCACTCCACATACTTTAAAACTTGTGATTCTCACGGATACTCTTTTGGTAATTTTATTCCCCCCACTTTGGTGGTAATAGGCTACTATTTTCCGCCATGATTTTGACCCTAGTTTTGCAGTGACATCGGAGTTGTGATTTACATAATCGAGGGCAAAAAATTGTCCCAAGTAGTAATAGGCATCCATTAAGATGGAAGTGGTAAAATACTTTCCCCTAAAACTTCATGATAAACGGTTATTCTTTCACTTCGAATATCTCCCTTCATAGGACAAAAACAATGAAAATGTAGTCCTGGTAGCAATAACTTTGAATTTGAGTAAATCACTGCTCTACATAAGCGTATGAAAGACTATTTACTCCTAAGCAAACAGTTTCTGATTACGACACAAAAGGAATTGCCGTTATCTCGGGAGCATTGCCCACTTACCGGGTGCCTTTTCTGAAGAAGACCTTTTAGCCGCTCTTTCAAAAAAAGCATAGCCATCTTTGTCAATTTCTTTGGTCTTCTTTAAAATTGCCTTTGCCAGTTGATCTGGGTCACCAGTCCTGGCCATAGTGCCTGGTTGAATGTGCACCACATCTCACGTAGTCATGGCACTCGGAGGTGTGCGAAACTGTTGTCATGGCCACAATCCCAAAAAATCTTAAAAGTACTTGGAAGTTATTTCACTTACGTACTAAAGTTTTTTGCTTCTAGTTTCAATGATTTTTCTCTATACTTAATTTTGAATAGATCTGTTCGCAAATTTGTGTCCGTTGTATTTAAGGACGAGTCTGGAAGTATCTTTTCTATGGGTCAATGACATGCGCGAAACATCTTGCCATCAGGGTAAAGGTTTAATCGTTGACCACCAAAAGGCCTGCGCAACCGGTATTTTAAAATGTCATCAACATTTCACTTAAAAACTTTGTACTTGTTGATTAACTGACTCTCATTTAGAGCCCATTAAATGCCATAAGAATGAGACGAGACATGTTTCAAGTCCTTTACTTCGATTTAAAATATTTTTATCAACTTTTAATAACCGCTAACAAATCTACCCCATATATGGCAGCGATGAATTTGAAATTTACTAGTAGATTTGCTCAGATTAAACAGCCAAGTGCTCATTTCTTGA